GGTATCATTCCCTCTTACCGTTAAATGTTCCTTTCTGTCTTTTTTAATGTAATGAGGGCAAAAGGCTATCTTTTGTGGCTGGGTAAATTTTCTTGTTTATTTTGATTTTTTTGAGACAGGGTCACATTATGTAGTTCAGGGTGACTTTGAACTCATTGTGTAGCCCCTGCTGACCTTGAATTCACAGGGCTTCTCCTACCTTACCCTCCAAGTCCTGGGATTACAGGTATATGCCACCTCATCATGCCTGGCTGTAAATAGTTCTTGTACAGTATCTGTATCTGCCTATTGATTTAACAGTAAACTTCCTGAAGATTAAAAAAATAAACCAGTCATACTTAAATTAGATTTATTTTTAAATTTTTTAACTGGGATCTTGCTGTAGTTCAGGGTGGCCTTGAACTTACTATATAGCTAGGCTGACTTCAAACTCATTCCTGGAATTGCAGGTATGCACTGTCATGCCCAGCTCTAGGGTTATTTATGCTCAAAATCCACAGCATATACACTATATTTCATAGTACAGTTTTTGGTTCGCTTTGCTTTTTTATCATACATTAAAGGGAAGCCAAAGGACAGGTTTTATCTTCATCCTAGCCACTTGTCCACCTACCTGCAGTACTGGAGTCTTGAACCCAGGCCTTTCAGACTGAGCTACATCCCCAGCCACTCCACCCCTTTAAAAATTTGAGACAAGGTCATTCTAAGTCTCTGGGTTGCTCAGACTGGGCTCAGACCTTGAGATCCTCTGCCCTTAGCTTACCAGAGGGCTAGGATTACAAGTGACTCCACCAAGCCTGATATTCATTATATTTTTTTAATAACAAGAGTTTATTTGTGGGCTGGGGTTATAGCTTGGTGGCACAGTGCCTGCCTGGTAAGTGCAAGGTCCTGAGTTCAATTCCCAGTTCCCAAAAATAAAACCAGAGGTAGGGGGGAAGAATTTATTGGTTATTGGAAAAGGGAAAACATAATACAGAAGTGAATAAGATGAAACTTCAAGTTGTATCTTATTCAGCACTTCAGGTCTCCAATTCCTCTCAAATTACCAGTCTTATATTTGCTGCATATTTTCCTAAGTTGTTTTATATGTTTGTTTATATATATTTTCTTTAAAAGAAACGTGGAAAGGGTCTTTTTCTACTTAATATTATATAATGGTCATTTTACTATATATGTAGATTAATTAGAATGCTTCCAGTTTTGGGACAGGCCATTGTGAATTTATCCATAGAGTTGATTCCAAGAAATGAGATTGTAGAATCAAAGAGATTAACTTACTTAAAAATTAGTATTGTATAGCAGTTTATATATATTTAAATCACTGGCAGTTCTTTAAATCACTAATTTTTCAGTCTGATTTGTATGTATTCATGCACATACATAACACTGAATTTAGTCTTTATAATTGGATTTAATTAAGGTGAAGAGTCTTCCAATAAGAGATGACATTTCATCTCTGAGTTATATATAAAGCACAATGCCTCAAGCATAGTAAGAGCTATATATTATATATATATAAAGCACAATGCCTGAAGCATAGTAAGAGCTATATATATATGTGTGTGTGTGTGTGTGTGTGTGTGTGTGTGTGTGTGTGTGTGTGTGTCTGTTTGGCTTAAGCCCATTGTCTTATATTGTGAAAATCGAAAATTCACTTTAGTTTTTTCACATATGTATATTTTGAACTCTTTATAGCTAATATGCAGTATTGTTAATTCATTCTTTCTTACAATTTACCCTCAAATTTCTATTTTTGGTTAACTTGTCCAAATCAATATCTTTAAAGTAGTTGTTAGGAATTTAAATGTTAATATTTGTACCAGTGGGATTGTCCTTGGAGAAGTAAACCTTTGTCATGATTTTGAAAGTATTTGTGGCTGGACCTAATGCACAGGCCTGTAATCCCAGCACTGGGGAAACTGACACAGGAGGACATGAATTTGAGGCCTGCTTGGGCTACATAAAAGGAGTTCAGGGCAGGCCTAGACTATATAGCAAAACCCTGTGTCCACCTCGCTCTAAAAAGCCAAGGAAGTATTTGAAAAGGGAAAGTGCAAACAAAACCTGTGGTGACTACTGAAATGATCTTTAGTCCATTCCTCTAGTTATCTATGCATTTAATGATATGAAACATGGTCAGAGTATTCCCATTGAAGTTTTAAAATTGTTTTTCAACAAAGCACAGTAATACATTAAGAAAGTTACTCTAGAATAAGTTAATCAATAAAATAAATGATTAATCATGTCATTAAATGTAGAAGCGAGATAAAAGATATAGAGTCATTTTTGTCAGTTCCACTTCTTGTGACAAGTACAAGTTACACCATTCCTATGAAGTTTCTAAAGGTAACCTTTAAGAATGAACATTTGCTGGTGAGAGTGCTGAATGAACTGAGGGTGAAATATCTTTACCAAATGCTGCCGTTAAATGTTCCATCCTGCCGGTGGCACAGTGACAGGCATTATGACACAACAGTCATTTACACGTGTTGCTGCGTATTATGCTTTGCACTTAGATGAAGCTGTGTGCATACAGAGAGTATGAGTCAGCTCTTTGAATGTATACAGTATAAATATAAGAAATATTTGGATTTTTGTTTCTTTGGTCTTTCTAGTATAGAATTTCCATGTACAAGAAAATAAAATTCTTTGTGTTATTAATAATCATTCTGGGAGCAAAGATAAAGTCTGGAAAGGCACATTTGGAATAGTGTTGCTAGAACTGTAGTTATATATGTGGTCAGGAGGAGTATTGTTAATAAATACAGGGCTTTGTTTCTGAAGGCCAGTTCATAAACTGTTTTACCATTTCATTGTTACTTTCTTTTGGCTCCAGTGTTGAAGATAATACTAAAATTTTCATGAGATCAGATATGGCCATCTTGTATTTTTAAGATGTTCTGTGAAAAACAGTAGTTTAATTTTTTTCCCTCTCTATGAACGAGCAAAGTGTTCCCTTTTTGTACAGTATAGAAGAAGCAGTATTTCTCTTGTTTTCATAAGCAACATATTTTGATGTTGATAATATCTTGACAGCTAGAAGCTTATGGTTTATTTTTTTATTGTTTATTTATTTATTTTATTTATTTAAAGAGCAAAAGAAGGACAACATAACAGTAGGGGGAGTCATCGAATTACAGACTGGTGGAACATTATCAATGGTTGCTATTGTACCTATTGGTATCTTCAAGATAGTTTCTCAGGAAAACAAATAGACAAATAATAGTGAGTTACAGACAAAAATGGTAGGAAGTTATCAATGGTTGTTGTATACTATAGTTTGGTCTCTTCAAAGTGGTTTCTAGGGAAAACAAAGAGCGTTATACATGAAGTTTATGGTTTAAATACCAATTAGATGTTAAGAAAGTATCAAGATAGTTTAAGATCAAGGATCTTCATCACTAAGAAATAATTTTCTGACATGTTATTATTTTCTCTTAATGAAGATTGATATTGGTGCTATATTTAAAACTATATTCAGATACTATAAAAGAATTTGAAGAAAGATTTTCCTGATCTAAATCTGGCCAGAATTGATTTTAAAAAACCCTATACATCATTTGTTTAAGTTGAAATCACATTTCAGTGTTTGAGTGTGATGGATACCAAAAATAATCTTTGAAACAAAGCTGTGTAATTTTTGGTCCATGTTTGAGCCAGTTAGCAAATATTTAATGTACACGTGATATTTATTGCCATGTTCTTTCAATTTGTGGCCAAATTTTATGCTCTCAGATTAAGAAAGGAAATCAACTTGATGTTGAACCTTAGTATCTGCCATAGGGACGGCTGTATATTAAATTATCACAGTAAAAAATTGCCAGATATTGTGTATTATTATGAAAGTGTTAATTTTGGTTTCATTATTTGAAAGCTATGATGAATCTTCTCAAACACTTGTAATTAATGGCTTCAGCTGAACTTTAATTAAATCTTCAACAGATTCAAAAAGCTATACTTTTTTTTTTTACAACCACAGTTACACTACTTTCTAGATGTATTTGTGATTTATTTAGTTGTCTTAGATAAGACGATTTTTCTGATCTTGTCCTCAATTGTAGAATTAGGATAGTGGTAGTTAAAGGCTATTGCAAGCTGGGCATGCGGGTGCACACCTGTAATCACAACACTTCAGGGGCTGAGGTCTTTAAAAACAGGTTTTCGCCTAGTAATTTACTTCATCTCATTTAATCTTAGCAATTGCTTTGTAATGTTAGGTATGTTCTTTTTTATGTGTGTGAGAAAGATAAATCACCCTAATCAATAACAGTATTAAATTGTAGTTGTCAGAGTCTGAATCCAAGTCCTCTGAGTCTGTATGTCATGCTCTTGGCAGCATTTTATTTTGAACATGCTGGAAGGCCCTCTCCCCATTCACTTATTGGTCTCTAGCTTTTAATGTGGATTCATAATGAAAAGATTGTTATTTTCAGAAAGCCTATGGCAAGCCATTATATGTATTATCACTTAATCTAGGCTCTTATATAAAGTTCTTACTGGCAGTTGATTTTTATAAAATCAAGTAAAAGGAATAAGCTGGAAACCTTGGCAAGAAAGCAGCAGTCATGGAACAGTTCACTGTGAGCTGCTAATTCTGGCTCTAAGATACCTTCCTCAAGTCTACCTTTGCTTATGCATACTTTCGCATACTGCAACAGTAACAAGTTCTCAAGATCTTGGTTGGTTTTGTGTGTGTCTTGGGCTGTTCATTTCAGAAATTCATGAATTTACAATTTCATTTTGCTCTCATGGTTTAAAATAATTGTGTCTACACTTTGGGTTGCTAATGTCTCCTTACCAGGAAGTTTACAATGATTTCTTTAAAAAAGCTGCACTGATCCTAAATTGTTGACTATTGTGATAAAGTTAAAATTTATAAAGTTGAATTGTAACCCACATCACTAACCACTTTTGTAAACTTTTAAAAATATCTTCAATTTGAGTCGCTGTGCCATTTTTCTTTAAAATAAACTATCATTCTTGCTGTTCTTTGACAGACCCCTTATCCCTCTGGACAGAATGCAGGTCCAACCACGTTGGTATACCCTCAAGCCCCTCAGACAATGAATTCACAACCTCAAACCCGTTCTCCGGTAAGTAAGCAGAAGCTGCTTCTAGATAATATTCTCCATCTAATTTTGTGTGTTTGTAGTAGCTTGGGTTCTTTTGGTAAATATTTTAGAAGTTTGTTCCAAAGATGATATATTAATATTAATTCTATTATTATTTTTCGGTTAGTATTGCATTTTTAGACCTTGCCATAGGAATAATTCCATTTACATTAAGAAAAAGAAAAGGAGCTTTTAATTTCTTTTTACTTTTTTGTGGCATGATTTTGAAGTCTGATTGCATTCCACTTTATTTCAGCTCTTAGTGTGTTGTACTGTTGAAAATTCAGAAGTATAATGATTTTTAAAGTAAACTGACTTCACTACTTAGACTCAAATTCCAGTGGTTTGGGGAGACTTCTGAGTCAGTGTGGCTAGAGCAGCTCTCCCATTTGACGGTGTGAACATGTGCATGATATATACCAGTGTTGTATTTATTTCTTCAGTTAGTAAATAAATTATCATGTAAATGTAAATGCTGTCTTCCTCTTTGTTCATCCGTCACACGGATTGCAGCAAGTACTGCAAAGGCTGAGAATTTACTTAAGGTTCATCCTTCTGTTTCATAAAAATGTACAGTGGCTTCAGCTTTCCATTCCTTAGACTGTTGTTTCCCACCCTGCATGATTAGCTTTGGCTAGAAGGTGCTTCTGTAACATCTCTCATTGTATTTCATATCCCTCTTTGAACCTGAGCTCTATGTATTCTTCTGAACATAGGAATCTTCTTTTTGTTCCCACCCCTGCTTTTTGTCTGGAGTATAGGAATACTTCATTGCATTAGCTCCTGTTCATTTGGTTTTATGCATGAATTTCGAGTTGTTGAAATGCACCAAAGAATTGCTCAAAGAACTAGGAAAGGATAGACTGCACCAATATGTAATCTCTTTTCTTACCCTCTTTCTGTCTTCCTTTTCCCTGTTGCCCTCTTCTCCAATACCCATTCTTAGATCCTGGTTCTCCCCAGTGGGTGGAGGAACCATTCTAAAGAGGTGGGACTTTGGTCCTAGTTACCTGTGTGCTTGTCTCTTTTTTTGCTGAAATGGTCAACACAATGTCTGATGCAAGTTTTGTTCTGAGAGTGGTTTGGGGATGTGGACACTTAACTACTTGGAGTGGGCCTGAGATCTGACCAGATCAATTTAGATAGGCCCTGGTTCTAATCATTAAGCATGGGAGATTATGGTAAGCTTTAATGCAAAGAACTCTATGGACTTCTTACCCTTGCCCCTTTTCTAATTATTGGGAAAAAAATTAAATTTATGTGGTTAGAATTGGCGCAAAACCTGACTGAAGAGCTGCATCTCTAAACCAGTTTTTTTGACAGCCCAGCAGAACAGTGCCAATACATTGCACAGACAACTGGAAGAGGAGGAAGGTTTTGGAACAGACTCCCGTTTACAGGTCCTTGGCTGGAAGAGGCTGGATAAAATACTGCATTGTAAGCAATATAACAAACTGTACTTCTTGCAGGCAGTGGTGCCTCTGGCACTCATTATTTTTGACCACATCCACTTATTGGCTGATGAACAGAAATGCATTGATTGCTTCCTCTCTGAAAGTCTAACCTAGCATGGCAGTTTCTGCCAGGCATACTGGGGAAAAGAATAACAAATTGGGTGGGGCTTTTCTATTGGGACTTAGACAGGAATGATTTGGGATTTAGATTTTTCTTTATTTTAAACTTCAAGTGGGATATGCCATTCAGATAAATTTGAATTTAAAAGATAAATTTCAGGGCTTCTTCCCCGCTTTCCCATTTGATAATTGAACATCATGGGGGAAATCGTCTGTAGTTGTCAGCCATTTTTTTGTGGTCATAAACTCTTCAGATAGTATCCTTTATACAGTTTTTGCCATCTGCTCTGCTAGTGACCATTACCACGCCCATTACTAAAATCCACATGTATAACATTCCATTACATACCCCAAAACAAGTGCAAGATTAGCAGACGCCAGTCTACTCTTGCTTGTTGTTTTGGGTCCAATATTTTTTTATTTCATTTGTGTTGGTGCTGGGCGGGTGAAGTTGGGGTATAAAGTTGGCAGGATTGCATTTTCTGTTTACATTCCAAGTTGCCATAGTCTAGTCTCATTCATGCCATAGCTGTCCCAAGGGGTAAGGAGAGGTAAGGCATTGCACTAAGGAAGTACACCTTCCTGTTGCTTTGTAAAGTAGCTAAAGCTTACTCCATTCTATTTCTGCATTAATAGGCCATTGGCAATTGCACAATTTAGGCTTTTCTGCTCTTCCCTGGACAACTGTCTTTGAATCCAACTGGCTTCAAATGGCCCCCCTTGCTCCTTCAGGTTATTTTTGTACCTGTATTTCTATTTGATATTTAGTGGCTTAGTTAAATTCATAATCTGGAAAATCTTGCTAAAAGTAAAAAATACTGATAAGCTACTTCTCTTCCATTTTCTTGTTGGGCTGGAACTCTTTCAACAGTAGTTTATTTTTAAATAGACTATTGAAAATAATGAAACTATTGAAAGCTTTAATTGGGAGAGGGGGACAGTTTGGCTTTTGCAGTAACCTGTAACTATTGGTTATTTTTATATTTTGTGGTGCTTAGTGCCAAATATAAATCAATGGTGTGTTGGCCCTGCTCAGTTTCCAACTGTCCATAAAGGGTGAGTGAGTGAATGGGTGGGTGGGTGGGTGGCATTAACATTGGATTCAAGTTCATATAAGGCTGCTTTTCTTTATATCTACAGTCTTCACCACCTAAGACCCCTCTTTGGGAAAAAAAAAAATAGTTTTTCTTTTTAATATGAGCCAGCAGCGACTACAGTTTGTTGTGTTGCTTACAGCTACCCACAGGTTTAAGAGTGTTGTCATTCCAGTAAGAAAAACTCAGTAGCCAATGGTGACTAGTGCAAAATAGACTAGGGTACTCTACTGAAATTTAAACTGTGATTTCCTTTTTATTAAAAACATATGTATAATTTTATAAGATAGTTCTCTTGTGCTAAGAAGTGCTCTTTTGACTACAACATTCCAAATATATAAAGTTTCCATTTTTATATTAGAGCCTTGGGACCTTTCTGTGGAACAGTGATAAGACAGGTACTGCTGTACTCAGGTTAATTTTTTGACATTTCCCTTCTCTCCCATTTTCTTCCAAAGTATCATGAAAAAACATCTCACTTCCACCCTCTACTTTCATATCATATGGGTGGTATTGCCTATTCTTAAACTTTGATGTCAGTAGTAGAGGTATGATCTGATTTCTTCTTACACTCAGAAAACTGAAAATATAAGACCTCAATTTCTTTAAAGAGAATATTTTCTGAAAGAACCATAGCTGCTGATTATCATCATTTTGAAAAACTACATTATAGTCATTAGCCAGATAGGATGGCATAGGATGGCTTACTTAATACACTCTAAGCATACAGGTCATTAAGGTACTTTTCATTACTTAAGCGGTAGGTGACATTTTAGCTTCTGAAAGGTGAATTCTTGACAGAGCTGTCTTCAGTGGTCCTCTTTCATTTGTGGCCAAGTACTCCACCAAAATATGTTGAATTTTTTAGTATGAAATAATAGTAGTTGGGAAAGTAATTCTGAATCTCTTGCAAATTTCCGTTGCATATGATTTAAATTCTCAGCATGAAGTATTGTTTCTTAATCATCTTACTCATCTACAGTGATAAATTCACAGAATGTTCTAGATAATGAAACAACTGAAGATAGATATATTTTAGCTCCTTTAAATATGTTAATGAAAACCTTGTATGGTTTGTATTCAAACTGCTTTCTAAATATTTTCTTTTGAATTTTGAAAATTGTGGTTAACATTATAATCCTTAATGTATTGGTAGCTGGTATTTGGCTTTATATGCCCTGATATTTTTCTCTTTTTTAGTTAAAATGTCTCTTAGAAGCCAGATTTTGCTCTGATGAATTATTTGATCTTAGACATTTGGTATTTATAAATTTCATGAATGAGAAGAGGAAGCATTGAAATATATATTATTCTTTTTCAAGTACATGTACTCTACCATTTAGTTGAAATTATGTTTCCTTTTGCTTTTATTCTCAGCATCAAGTAGCACTAGGTACATATGGACAGTATTTTGCTGTTGTCAATAAATAACAGTTGAGAGATTTGACTTCCTTTTTTTTTTCTTTTCAAGCCTATTGTAGTACCATTTGGATTAATCATGTTAGAGACTTGTGTTCTTTACTAGCTGTTTGCTTTTACTTGTCTGGTATTAAACCTTATTAGCTAATTGCATATATATATATATGTATGTATATATATATAGGTGTGTGTATATATGTGTGGAATAAAATTATATACAATTTTATTCTTTAACTTCATAAAATAAAGGAAGAATTGAACCATCACATTCATGTATAAGATAACCCAGTTAATTTAAGAAGATTTGCAGTCAGTCCTGGTACATTCACTATTTCCAACTGGACATTTTAATTATGTCCTGGCTATTTCTTGTAATATAAAAGTATTTTTCATGCCCTGAAGCTTTAGTGGTTACATACAGCATACTTGATTTTCATGTTTGTCTTAATAAAACCACTCAGTCTGAAACTTTCTTTTGCCTTATTTTAGGGATTTATTTATTTAAAATACTCTTCTGTCAGTGTATACCGTAGGTGCCTAACAGCTTAGCTATTTTTCTCCCAGCTGATAAAATGACAAATCATCTTGATAGTGGTGTTAACCTGTTGAATCTTAGTACCTGTCTGTCACTGTCCTGCAGCAAAGCTTTGACTGTTTTGTGTTTTTATTTTTCTTGTGGGTTTTTTTCTTTTTGCATATTGTGTGACATTTTGGTTTTTTGTTGTGGTGTTTCTGACTCTTTGTGCCTTTCCTTTTGTGTTTGTTTTCCCTCCTTTTCTCAGTTTGCAGCGGGGCCTCGACCTGCCCATCATCAGGTACTGTACCTTTGCCCCTTCACTATCACCCTTAACTAATAGGTGGGGGCTTTAGTAGCTGCTAACTCTTAGAATGCTGCCAGGCCATGGAGCCACCCAAATTACTCTTTTCAGGAGAACTTCCATCTGATATACTTCAGTTCTTTTTGTCCTTCACTGATTTTGTTGCATTTTATTATTAACAAACCCATTTGTTCTGTTTACAATATAAATTAAAAATACTGTAGTATTTTTTCTTTCCCCAAAATATTACTTTAAATTTAGACAACTTTGTAAAAGATAGATATAATTAACCTCTCACAGACTTTATGGATCTCTGTTTTTATTAAATAAAACAGGCAACATTCTAAGGGTTTTTTGTTAACATTCTGATATAATCTGTATTGATGTGTTAAAATAGCATTTCTAAAACCACTATTAATCTCACTTACTTAGACCTAACAAATTTATTACCAACATTGTACATTCATTTTCTGTATAGAACTATCTTTATTCTTAGGATGCATAGAAAATAGATACCTTATTTAATTTTAATATTTTTAACCTTTTTTAATAAATCAATTTGTTGTAGGAATTACAGATTTAAAAATGTGTACAGCAATACTATGTGTTTTTGTTTTTGTTTTTAAAGCAGGAATCTATTAGAGGTGGCAGTAGGGGAGAAAAAGACTTTTAGTAACAGACCTTTAATAGCTACCGCAAATAGTTCTTCATGGAATACTCTGAAACATTTTCTCATGGAATAATGGGAAGAGTCTAATAGATTAGCATATGACAGATGTAGGTTCACATTGCCAGGTCTGTTGTATAACCAGCGGTACTAAGCAAGTCTTTTTCTGAGCCTCAGTTTCCTTACATACTAAATAGTGATGAAAACGTGATAATGTTACAAAGTCTGTATGTAAAGTGTCTGACACAAAATAAACAGTCAGTGAGTGGTAGCTGTTTTTCATATTGTTAAGCAACATAGTATTGTAGGAAAAATGAGAGGAATAATCCATGGTATCATATTTAAGTGTTGTTTTGTTTTGTTTCTTCTATCTTGTTTTTGGTGAGGTCCTGGGGATTAAACCCTGGGCCTTTTCACTGTGGAGTACTTCCCTATCCCTCCTTTTGTTTTTTTATTTTGAGACAGGAACTCTCTAAATTTTCTGGGCTGAGTTCAAACTTGCAATCTTCCTGCCTCATTCTCCCACAGTGCTAGGATTACAGGCATGTGTCACCATGCCTAGCTCATATTTGTAATATTTATTACTGACTAAATGGATATTATTTAATTGAAGGTTTCCATTATTTTGAGTGATTTACTAGAACACTATATTCTGAAAATACAGTCTTTCCAATTTGGAGGATTTAAAGATCTAACAGATGTTGAGATGTTACAAGTACTTTTCTGGAGAATGAACAGATGGTTATATGTAGTAGGTGACTATTTGGAGTTCATAAAGAAATAAAACTCAGGGGTGGCATTTATTTATTTATTTATACTTTTATTTTATTTATTTGAAGAGGTGGTATTGTATTTTTTTTTTTTCTGGTACCACAAATCGAACTCATGACCTTGTGCTTGCCAGGCAGGCGCTATGCCGCTGAGCTAAATCCCCAGCCCCAGAGATGGTATTGTAGAGTTTTGCATCAGCTAGACATAGGCTTAACTCATTATTGAGTGTTTCTGTATAAGCTGTTTACTTACCTAAGCCTGTTTTCTCATCTGTAAAATGGAGATGATAATACCATTTCAGGACCTATATGAAGAATCAATGACATAATGCAAATAGAGTAGGAATTAAGGATATATGATGATAAACAATAACTAGTAGACTAATAAACATAGCTCTTTAGGTAAAGGGTGATTATAATTTTTTCTTTAAGTTAGTCAGGGCTATAGAGGCCAAGTTTAAATTTTAACCTAGGGTCAAAACAGATATTCCTGAAAAGAATGTAGGTCTCCGCTTTTAGAAGCAGACCAAAAACAGTGTCATTGCTGAATTAAGTAGAGTGAGAGAATTTAGGAGGAAAGTTTTCTGAGCCCCTTGATAAAGCACTGTTTAGTTTCTCTGTTCATCTTTCTTTCTTTCTTTCTTTCTTTCTTTCTTTCTTTCTTTCTTTCTTTCTTTTTCCTTTCTCTCCCTCCCTCCTTCCCTCCTTCCCTCCCTGCCTCTCTCTGTCCTTCCCTTCCCCCTCCCTTTCCCCCCTCTTTCTCTCTCTCTGTTTCTATCACTTTTTCTTTCTTTCAACAGCATCTTACTGTGCAGTTCAGGCTGATCTCAAACTCGCAGTGATCCTCCTGCCTCAGCCTCCCAAGTGCTGAGATTATAGGCAGGCACCACCATGCCCAGCTTTGTTTATTGGTTTTAATCTTCGGTTTCTCTCAAAAATAGTTTCAGACAGCATAAGCCTTAGTACAAGAAATCAGCATTACCTTTGACTACAGTCTTTTGGTGGAATATCTTCAGTATAGGTTGCTAGAATGATGGATGAATTTTGAAACCACAACCATGTTAGTCTGAGCCCATTGTCATTCAGAGTAGCCAGTGTCTTAAAGACTGTTACTCTGAAAAATTTTAAGTTATTGATGAATATAGTGTAAACTTAACGGATAAATGTTTGCCTCAGATCAGGATGTTGTATTTAAGCATTTTAGTCAGTTTTTGTTTTTTTTCATTTTAGTCAGTTTTGAGTTTTGTTTTCTGACTTTCTTATGAGCGTTAAAGGCTTGTGATATTTTATCTTTCCCTAATTTGAACAATTAAGGAAAACTTTCAGAAACTTTTATGAGGAAAATGCTAATTTCCAGGCCCATTTTTCATGTGTAACATGACTCGAGAAAGTGTTTGCAGGCTGGTTTTTAATTTTAATTTAGGATAATAGGAAATTACAGCTTTTTTTTAAAAAATTAGAACTATATACATGAATTATTTATTCATTGGCAGAAAAATAATTACTTTCTAACACTTTGACAATGAATTCCTGAGATGGAGCATAAATCCAGAGCGTTTGTTTTGAATACAGAAATTCAGGGCTTGATATGGTGGTGTATGCCTGCAACCCCCGCACTCTGTGAAGCTGAGGCAGGAGGTTTTCAGTTTGAGCACAGTGCAGGCAATTTAGTGACTTAAGGAGACCTAGCTCCAAATTTAAAAAATGATAATAATAAGGGCTAAGGCTATAACTCGATGTGAAGGTCTTGGGTTCAATCCTGTGTTGTGGGAGGAGTGGGTATAAATTTAGTTGGATGGGTGGCTTTTTTCTGGAATTCTTTTCCAAATACCACTTTAATTCTTTTTTTCACAGAGAATTAAGTGAGTAAGGACATCTGTACCACTGGGTGAGGCAGAAATAGTTATTGTTTGGAGAGATGGAGGGAGAGAGACATGGAGTTGGAATGATACTGCCAAGCAGGAGGAGTCTGCATCAATGCTGTATATGTTGTAGGGAAAATAGTAGAGTTTAGTACCTGTATTTGTAACAAATGTGGGGCCAGTTTGGTTTGCTTCATTATGGAGTAAATGTAATTGATGTTTTGGGTGTAATAACCAATGAATGAAAACCATGGAAGCTTGTGATTATAAAACAGTATTATTCATTGTAGTGATCTACAAGCTACATAATACATTTTTTTCTATGTAGAGTGAAGTTATCTGAATTGAAATGAATCAAATCACAGGATTTTAAATGGTCATTTTCTTTGTTCCTAATAGAGCCAAGAAACCGTTACATGTTTCTTGGATTTACTTATATTTATAAGATCCTTAACTATACTTGGTAAGGTAGAATTCCTTTTGACTCCCTGCAAGTCAGGTATACTGTCTTTTCATTAGTATTTTGTTAGCTATGTCTTCCTTGTATTGTAGTTTTTAAATTTTTTACAGGGATTCCTTAAATTGTTAAGCATCTTCTCTTCTTTTTTGTATTTTATAGTTTGAAGTTCTTTTCAAATTAGTTTCATTAAAGATAAAACAAAAATGCTGGCTCCTTTAATATACAGAACATTTGCCCTTAGAAAATAATGTCAATTATTTTTACACTGATGTTTGGAAATTCCAAGGTTTTTAGAAACTGAAAGAAGAGAAAATATACTCAATTAAAACAAGCCACTTGGTATGATTTAGGCTCCGACTTTTGTTGTTTATTTCAAGTGTTTGGTCATTGAAATTTGTGTAGTTATGGTTTGAAGTTACTTATGTCCCTGTCCTTGTACTTTTTTAAGTTTCACAACAGAGATCAAGTGTCAGTTATATACTCTGACTAGTCTTTTCATTCTGACCAGAGAATTGATATTTAAAAGTATTTATAGAACAAAATTATTTTGTAATTTGTTGTTACATGATTTAGTTCACATAGTGTTCACCAATACTGAATAATATTTCATTCAAAGCAGTGGGATTGTAAACAATAAACTTCGTAAGACTGAACAGTATGTGTCATCATGGAGTGTGTTACCTGGTGGCAATCAATGAAATTGCATGTTTTCCTGTTGTATTCTAAAAAACAACAGAACAGCTTTTTAAAAGAACAGCTGTCTTATATGGAGTTTTCATTAAATCCCTGAAGGTTTCTCTCCTGAAAATTATACTGTTATATTCCTGGTTGAGATTTACAGCATTAGTACCATGATAGGCAGTTTCTTATATTTGGAAAGTGAAAGAAATGAAGGCTTGGGGCTTATACCTGGGGCCAACCCTGGCACATCAGAATTCATAGGACACCAGATCAAGCGTCTGAAGAATCTAATGAGCAAAATTGAGAGCTTGTTAAGGACAGTGGTAAGCAGTTTTATGTGATGTTTTGTTCACATGGAGTTGTGAGTGTAGGGTGGTGGCAGAGGTAGTAAAGAAAAATGCCTCTTGGTAGTGAGCAAAACCAGGATTCAGGTTCAGCTTTATTATAAATTATCCTTGAGCCTCAGCTTTATGTCCAAGAGGGTAAAATGTGTTCATAAATGATACAATATTGAAAAGTGATTTTACAACCCCTATTTCCTATGGTTATTACAGGGA